ATCTTCATTTCAAATGCTTCTTTATATAATAAATCTTCACATTACCTCTTACTTTTTAGAAACATAGATCGTTAAAAAGATGGTTGGATAAATTTATCCGATACTAAAACATAATAAGTTCAATTATAGTTTTTGAATTTATTTTTTTTATAAGCGTAAAATGTCCGAATTAGTCTATTTAAAGATTTTTATGGTTAAAGTATCAAGGGGTAAAATTAAAATGTGTTTTCTATCTTAATCAGGACTTTTAAATATATAAGGAGAGATTAACTTTTAAAATACTTATTATTTAAGTAAATTGTTCTATTAAAAGACTTAAAATAATTTATTAACGTGTCAAAGACCAATAATTCAATAAATATTTTAAATAAGCATCCAAACCCCAGTGAATTACACCATTAAAAAACTAATTAATATGTTGAAAAAGATACATGTTTGACAAAAAAAAAGTGTTATAAATTTCTTTTAGTTCTGTAAGATATCAATATTAAATGTGCTATAACAATGCATAAAAAAATAGTTTATGTTAAATATATAAATTATACATGGGATCCATTTTGTCAAGGAATCGTGCTAAACAAATCTCCATTGCGTGTTCAAACTATATAGTTTTTAGCAATAACAAAACCTAATAAAAAGTCTAATCGATCGTAATGATTATGTAACTTTGTTTTTTTTTTTTTTAATGTTTTGTAATCTTTTTGTTGATATACTCTGTCAGCATAAATAATCCAGCGGTTGGCGACTTGACGGGATGTTTGGTCAGACCCGTCGGGTAAAAAAACTACACACGAGTTTTACATAGTTAGTGTCGGAATTTTAACGGAATTGGCCGTCGCTATTAGGTTATGTTTGGTAGTAGTGAACAGATTTATAAGATGTACGTAAAGGTTTACATCTTGCGGAGCACATTGCTATAGACCTCTAAAAGGTTCATTGCATCGAAGATGCTCCTAAAGCCACTTAAGATCTTGGGAAAATGACTTAATTAATGGTTTGGCTCATTACATTAGCAACAAATCACATGTCCAGTCCATTTAATGGTAATACTCACTCTTAAATATAGATCGAAATGTGTGTACCTGGTAACTCAGATGTGGCCATTCTTATGTGAAGATCTTGATTGTCATCATACTCTCTTATGTCCATGAGTTCATCCAACCATAGCAAACATCCACTTCCCCCTTCTCTAATATCTAAATTTGCATAAGCTCTACAAGAACAATTCCTTCTACAGGCCATCTCGCATTCTCTAAGAGACATGCTCACGTTGAACCATGAATGTTGTGTGTCTGGAAATTTCACTCCTGAAATTTTCTGAAACCCATCGTCCTGAGTACTCCCACAATCAAAAGCCTTTCTACGTTGACACCCACTTGACCAATCTCCTGAATTCCATTCTTCTACGACTTTTGGCTCAAAGCCTTCCATACAATTGCATGGAGGATATGTTTTCGTACTACACCTTCCATAAGGACCACATCGTCCATATTGACTACAGTTATCAACAACGACATTTCCATATAAAACCCATTCTTGGGTTCGATTGATCCAACTGAATTGAAGATGGCTTCCGTCCCATGTAAGAATTATCCTCTGAAGAACTGGACTTTTAAGTTTATATGAATATGATATTTCCTTTTCGTTGACAACAAACTCTACGGAAAAAATGGGATTGGTGTTTTCTCGAGGAAGCCCACTAAACCCTTCACCATTCCATGGTCCAAACCTTGAGTGTGGAACTTCACCTTCTACCTCAAATGTCTGTGGATACCCATTTGTGTTTAGAAAGACTTTATATCGACCTATAGAAGGATCATCAGGGCTCTTCCACGATGTTAAGTTCTTCTGAATTCCTGTTAGCAAATCCTTCCCTAACTTCTGTCCTGGTAGCAACGTGTCTCCGGGGTAGTCAAAACTTTGCCAGATCGGAGCTTCTTTGGTGTTCGTTTCATCCCACACGACAAGATTTCCGCTGTCCAGAAGCTGTGCCACCGGAAGATTAACATTCCTGATCGATGCCGAGGATTTGGATGACCAGATTAGGGTATTGTTACCACTGAGAATTAGAAGCTTTCCTTCGTTACTGAGTTGAAACTTCCCAGATGTGTCGTTGATTGGTGTGTCCCTGTTAGCAACCCACACAGTGGTAAAAGTTGAGACATGCTTGTACCATATCCCCAAGTATCGATTCTGGGACTTTCCAGGGCTGAAAAAACCAAGTTCGTACGTCTCATCTTCTGAAACGAGGGTGTTGCCATCTTTGATTGGTTGATTTGGAGTTATTGTATCTATTGCAGCAGAGGATGATAAGAAAACGAATAAGGTACTGGAGAAGAACATAAGAAATGGATATACCTCCATTTGAAAAGTGTTGTTGAAGATGCGTGGGAGTTTTAGAAGAAGATGGTAAAATATTGTCAAACTCTTTGCCGAATCCCTAAATATAACAGGGAGAGTTTTGTTGGATTTATGTGATTACGTAATTTGTGTCAGATTAGAGTCTGGCGGTTATATTTGATAATTTCATAGCAATACTCTTTAAAATATTGATTCATTACAATACAATTTTATATTTCGTTGGAGCGTGTTTTTTAATGGTCGCTTCTTGAATATTTGAATTTAATTAAGTCATCTAGTTGAATTCCTTCAATGGATTTTCATATTATCTTTTTAAAATATATACGACTTTATATTTAATTCTATAAAATTCAATAGAATGTAACAAAATATAATTTATAGTAAATATTTAAGAATTAAAAATTTTCGTTTTTTCTATTCAATAGTTCAATGATTATTAAACTCAAAATCTATTGAATGTCAACGTGGCATCTCATAATGATAGAGTTTCATCAATTGAATGTCATATAGACTTGTCACCTCATTCAACTCTCTCATTCAACTCACAATTATGGATACTCTTATAATGACTAACTTGTTTTTGGACCGAACACCAAAATAATTAAGATGGACCATAGTGACTAGGTCGGTCGTAAAAGAGTTTTGGGGGTTAACGACACAAAACGTTTGTAGTGTTTAAGAGCTTCTAGCTTCTAATATTTAACAAAACGCTCCATTTTGAACAAAAAGTTTCGTTTGACACTACAAGTTTCTACGTTTAGTTTAAACAAAACGCTCCAAATTCAAATGTTACTTCACGTAGCGTTTAACAAAACGCTAATTCACGTAATGTTTAACATAACGTTACCCGCTACCTGCAACCAGTTATTTTTCCCGAACACGCCTTAAGAGTGTTGAATATTGTGGAAACCTTTCTTTTATATATATATATATATATATATATATATATATATA